TCCTAATTTTGATAAACTCTTGATAGCCCTGGATGAAGGTTATGGATTGTGAGCCATTGTAATATATGTAGATATTTTCCTTAATTGCTGGTGGCCTTGGTCTGTAAATAGGAATAGTCGGTTTCTGGCATAGGAACACAGTGTTATGGAAGCAATATTAAAGTTGAGTCAGGGAACCAGCTGAATATAGTCTTAAATCAGCTTGTTATTTGAAGGAGATACTTACTGAATGTAGGTCTACAGCCCTTTAATGCTACTGTGTTTTGATACCATATTTGCATCAGAGCACAGATTCAAGGAAATTTCCATCTGCTAATAGAATCTATCCCAACATAGCTGGGATCAATTGTGCTGTGTTGTGATTTACTCATGGCAGTTGATCCCACTCCTTAATAAAGCTTTTCCTGAGAGAACCAGTTTGGTGTAGTGGTTAAGGTACTAGGCTAGAAAGCGAGCGACTGTGAGTTCTAGCCCCACCTCAGGCATGAAAACCAGCTAGATGTCTTTGCCAGTCACTCCCTCTCAACCAAATTCATCTCACAGGGTTGTTGTGAGAAAAAAATAAAAAGCAGGAATATTAGGTGTATTTGCGGCCTTGATTTGGGGAAACTAGAAAGAGAATATAATATTAGATAGGCTACTACCTTGTTATTTATCAAAATAATAAAGGTAGGAAATAAATAAATAAAAGCCTTTTTCTGGGTGACAGATTAATTTAATATGCATGATTTTTTAATTACTGTTTGCAGAGTTCACCTAAAATTAACAGCTAAGTAATTTCTCCTTGCCAGCAGTCTATTATTTGACTGTAACATAACACTTTAAATTATGAATATCACTTGGCTTGGGACCCATTTTTTTCAGTGGCTTTATGTTTCTTTTTTTTAACTTGAGCAACTATTGTGTTTAGTTCTCTATTACATTAATCAATGTCTGCGATAAAGAAGAACAAATAGACTTGTAAGAAAGATATATTGTCACCAGCAAAATTTTCCTTTATGCAGTTTGTCCTTCAGCAGCTTGCTATTTTTCTCCAAGGGGATGTGAGGGCAACAATAGCTGAATGCAAAGCAATTGGCATAGATGCACTACATTGGTGACACTCCTTCCCTCCCTCTCGTTTGCTTCTTAAGTTCAGAAATACCTTCTCCGTGCTTTTTATCTTAGGGAGGGAGGTCTGAATTTTAGGATATGGATCACACACTATCAATGATTATATAAGCTGAGTCCTATTGAGAAAGTCAAGTTTTTAGTTTGATAGAAAAGTACCCCAATGTTTTTGACAACTTGCTGAGCAAAATAGTCAAGTTGAATTATTTCGATTTACATCTTTGTATTTGTCTTGATTTATTAAGAAAGAAACTAAGGAAACGTTTCTAACTAGAAAGCAAAATATTAATTGCTTTTTTTGTGGCTTTTATATTGGGTTTTTATCTTTGTAAGCTGCCTAAGAGTAAGTTGGGTGGCTGTATTTTTTTAAAATAAATAAATAACAATAGAGGGCAAAATAAATTAAAATTTCTTTTTACAGGTATCAATCATGGGCCTGTAATTGCTGGAGTCATTGGAGCTCAGAAACCACAATATGACATCTGGGGCAACACCGTGAATGTGGCCAGCAGGATGGATAGTACTGGCATTTTAGATAAAATACAGGTTATTTTTTTATTCTTGCTAATGGCCAACAAATCTTATGTAGAATCTGATTCTCTATATTATTAACTATTTGGAAGAGGTAGCATTTCAAAAGTTAATTTATAAAGGAGAAAAATAGCAACAGTTACCAAAAAAGTTTTGTGCACATGTTCTACATGTTCTGTCTTCATTTCTGATCATCCTTTTCTCTCTTCATCCTTCCTATCTTCAAGAAGAAACCCAACTAGTCTCATTGGAGTTGTTAACTTCAAATTTGCTTTAATTTTTTAAAAAGTTAATACAATAAAAAACTTTTATCCACCACAGAATATTAGCACTATCCTAGATGATTCTGCAGTAAATTCTGAGTTCTACTTATTGGTGTTCCAGGTTTAGCCAAGTGAAATCCCAATGATTTCATTGGATTTCTAAATATTACTAATTGCTAATATGTCCCAATATATATTTTTTCATGTACTTGTCTGTTAAGATAATCAGGAAAGACTCTGAATGAGATTCTCATCTTTAAAGATGGCAAGGTTATACTGAAAACCTTCCCCATAATTATATTTGTTGATCTATACTCACAGCAAATAGTTCAGGGCATAGAAGAAAAAGATTTCTAGGCTTTTTAAAAAACGTCTGAATGTGTTTATTTAAATATTTTTTGCAGGTCACGGAAGAAACCAGTAACATCCTACAAACATTGGGCTATATTTGCACCTGCCGAGGTATCATTAACGTCAAAGGAAAAGGAGAGCTTCAAACCTACTTTGTACATACTGAAATGACTAAGTCCCTTTCCCAAGGGAATGTGGCATCATGAAAGATATCAAGGGTAGACATCTCATATTTTTAGAGATAAAGCACCCCACACTTTTTTCTTAAATCTCCTCTAGCCCACACCATGAACAACATGTGTGTACTTTTCTGGTGTATAGAAATGTTGCTGTAGTAGTGTCTACAGTCTCGTCCCATCATTTTCCATCAAGAGACCTCGGTAGTTGCCAGATTCCAGAAATGGCCAAAGTGAGTGCTGTGCACTGAGATAATGACGGCTTGATTTGTATTCTTGACTTTTCAGTGGTAAAGAATCGAGGGAAATAAGCTGAGTTGGAAAAATTAATGGCCTGATGCAGAAGGAGGCTATGAAGACGATAATTGGAAAAAATTTACAGAAAAGCACTTTATGGCAATAAAATTAGAGCTGCATGAAACATCATGAAAATATATGGTAGCTCCATATAACATCCTCTAATCCTGAATTATATAATTCTGAATATCTAATTCTATCCCTTCATCATTACAACTAGGGTGTGTTCACTAGTTGTGTCTCACAGCCAACAACATAAAATAGAGCTTCAGGCTTGATAGTTTCCCCAGAGAAATTCATAGATAAGCAGGACCAGTTTTGTATAAAATGTGTTAAAATGTTTTGATGCCCTTGTCTTTTGTAATATAAATTCATTAAAGGTTTCTATGTACTTTATTTGCAATTGTGAGTTTATTACACCTGTAACATGTCATCAGTGAGCTTTCTGGTACAAAGGCAAAAACAAAAACCCAAACTCTTCTGCCCAAAGTTTATGATTTAAATATCTTCAAAGTCAAAGGTGATAAGGCCATGGAAGCAAGGATAAATATTAGCAAAGTAATAATTCATATTTTATTGTATATTATAGCTGTTTTGTATGTATGAATTCTCCTTAATGCAGGGGTGTCAAACTGACGGCCTGTAGGCTGGATGTGTCACACGCAGGCCATGCCCACCCAAGTTCCGCGAAGGCAAAAACGTCGTGATATGTCACGTGACATCTATGTGACATGGCGAGTTTGACACCCGTGCCTTAGTGCTACTTAACGCAATGTTGCCGTTAAAAGTATGAAAAATGAGAGGCAGTCAGAAACTTCTCCCTAACTTTGTTGTGGATATAGAAAGTAGAGCAATTACTGTAACAGTTTACCTACTCATCACTAATATCCCGCTAGTGATCATAAAAAGAAAAAGCTGAACCTGCAAAGAGGAAGCCTGAATTAATGCCAAGTTTATAATAGCTTATTTGTCCTAGATAGGCAAATGCTGAAAGTATTATTTATGCAAAATTATTGCTATAAAGATCTAAAAAGAATTGGAGAACATGGAAGACGATGCACTACAATAATTTATTATACTACATAGTGTACTATAATATATAAACAAAAGATACCATTCAATTCCTGGTAAAAATTTAATCATAAGCAAAGTGAAATGATAAAAAGTATCATCATGTAAAATACAGAAGTTATGGCCTTGTTTCAGATAGCAGGACACAAATATATAATGGTAATATTTACTATGTGATGTCATTGTACATAGGTCATCATTTTGGGTTTGCCTAAAGGAAGCTGCAGACACTGTTCTTTAGTGATAAACATCAGTTTGCTTTCTCAGAAGGCTGCTCAATATTGTACAACATTTACAAAATCCACTGTAAAAAAAAAGGCAGCTTTAAATGCTGAATAACTTAATGCGGGGTAAGGAAGTCTATTTACCATTTTGCCATAATTTAATCTGCTCTTACTGTTAGATGTTGGAAGCAGAAACCTGACAGAATAATGGTATTTCTCAATCATAAAAGCCTGTTTGGCTTGCACTTTTGTGGTTTCATCAGGCAACGTTGTTACCTTTTCACTCTGATCTTTGCAGCAGTTATGTCTATATAGTATGGTGCGTCATCTAAAATGAAAAATTATCAAGTAGCGCCGTGTCCTAGAATACCAAAATATCGGGTTACATGATTCTTTCTTGTCAGTGCTTTTATTAACAGCTACTAATGAGACACATTTGATGAGGCTCCTATTACCCTGTTTGCATGCAGGTATCAGTAACCGCTCTCCTGACATTAAATGCTTCTGAACTCATTGTTCAAGGACCTTTTGTCTGTCTTCCAGTTGAAAAGTAACTATTTCCCCCTTTAGCTTTGATATCAACACCTCCACTTAGATTCGGTGATATCTATATAGCGCTTACAGAGGCGTCTCATGTTGCAAGAAACATATATCGTCATCCAGAAGACACTGTGTGATGAATTGATTCAGAATCATAGCCTCACGTCTTTGTATCTGTCTACTATTCCTGTATTTCTCAGAAAAATTCCCTGCTAACACTTCACTTGTGAAATAGATTTAACATAGCAGTGAGTGAGAGCAGCCTGGCCTTTGTTTTGCCCAGCCACAGCTTTTCTCAAACTTCCAACCCCCTTATAAGTGATTTGACATCATAGTTTATTCAGATGGTCTCTTAGTAACCAAAGAACTCTGCAAACACACCAGCTGGAGCTGGGTGGGAAATTAGTAGGGAATGCAAAGCAATCTAGCCTGCCACTCAGCCAAACACTGGCCTTCACAGGGGAATGCAAGAAGCCCAGAATGGGAAAAAACCGGAGGAAGAGGAAGAGTTGGAAGGACTGGAAGGTGTCAACAAGGCACTAATAAGGAAACACCAGCTTCCACTCTCGGCACAGTCAGCCTTCAGCTACATCCCGCCTCGACGCAAGGACCCTCCTGAACTTAGTTATTTTTACCAGGAGAGAAAGGTATGTCCAGAAATTTTGTGCGATAATTGGGAGGAGGGGTCAAAGCATCCAAGACAGGTGTTATGATGGAAACCCCTATTAAAAGGCTCTGGGAATGAAGCATCGCTCAATCTTTCATCCCCAGATAGCAAATTGCAATGCAGGTAGTCCTCAACCTACAACCACAGTTGAGGCCAAGTTTATGTTGCTGAGTGAAACATTTAAGTGGATTTTGCCCCACTCTACAACTTTTTCTTGTCACGGTTGCTAAATGAATTGAAGTTGTTAAGTGAAACTGGCTTCCACACTGATTTTGCTTGTCAGAAGGTCACAAAAGGTGATCATATGACCCTGGGACCAGGGATGGGATTCTACCAGTTCAGACCAGTTCAGGCAAACCCTTTGTTCCAATGATTAGCTGGCTCTGAACCAGTTCGCTACCACGAGCATGTGGGCCCACCTGCCCGCCCCTGCTCTTTCCGGTGCTTTATTTCCTTTGTTTAGAGCAGGGGGTCTCCAACCTTGGCCACTTTAAGACTTGTGGACTTCACAGAGGCTGTAGTTGAAGGTAAGCATGAGCTTTTTCTATATGCAGAGTGTGTGCATGGAGCGCACAATCACCGAACCAGTTGTTATACCGGTGGAATCCCACCCCTACTTGGGACACCACAACCATCATAAATATGAATCAGTTGCCAAGCATCTGAATTTTGATTGCATGACCATGGGGATGTTGCATTGGCCATGTGCAAAACAATCCTAAGTCATTTTTTTTCAGTGTCGTTGTAACTTTGAAGGGTCACCAAATGAATTGTAAGTCAAGGACTAACTATATGCAATTTTTGAAACATGTAGTCTATGGAACTTACAATAGCAATAGCACTTAGAGTTCTACACCGCTTTGGTCAGCTGGTGCTCCATTCAAAATCCAAAAAAGAAATACTTAAGACTCCATTAATTAGAGAAAAGATATCTTTTACTGGAAATCAAGTGGCAGCATCAAAAGAATTCTGAATCTGAGAAAATGAGTGCGTAAATCACATATACAAAGTAATGGCAACGTTCCCACCCACAACAGTTCAAACTGTCAATCCAATAAAAAGTTGTATATAATGTCATGTGGGCATCTTCAGGTGGTGATGAGGCCTCTGTCCATTGACCTGGACATATTTTGATAAAGAGTTGCAGCTGCGCATAGCATAGGAAAAACATAAGCAAGAAACTCCCCCCCCCAACTTATACAGCTGACTTCCCGTAATTATTTTCCCCCTCCTCTCCCCATTACTGATGACAGCCGAAAGATGCAAAGGAAGGAAATCTTGAAGGCTGACAGCTTTAGTGTTTTACAGCCCTCTCAAATGGTGTTACAGAGTTATATTTCCCCCAACAATTTGGGTTTTCATTTTACTCACCTTGGAAGGATGGAAGGCTGAGTCAACCTTGAGCCTGGTGAGATTTGAACTGCCAAATTGCAGGCAGCTGGCAGTCAGCAGAAATACCCCGCAGTACTGCATTCTGTACTGTACCACCAAGGCTCTTACTTTTACTTTGGCACTCATTCTGGATCACTTGTTTGAATAATGGTTGGTCAAACCAGAAAGAGCTGTATGCTTGTAACCTCATTTTTGAGCAGTGTCTTGTATTGTGCTATACTGAGTAGGAATATAGATTAACTTTGGAGCCAAGGGTCATATTCAGCCATGTGGCATGCTGACACTGGCACAACCCTACAGCTTCTTTCTCTCTTTAGAAGCTAAGCAGTGTTTAAAGGCTTTTAATCACATTGGAAGAGCTCAATATGTTCAATGGCTATGGTAAATTCAGTGAAGGTCACTAGTATCTGTCTCCTAGATAGGAATTATTGTAGATCCTGTGTTTTATAAAAATGTTCAGCACTGTATTTTTTTAAAGAAAGCCTTGTTAAAAGTTCTGTCACTTATTAACAGCACTTAGAAGATATGAGTACATACACATTACTGCTCAGCAAAGAAAATTCAGTATATGGTAATACCAATGTTTATGCATATCGGAATGCTCAAGGGAATGGATTCCATCACTGTGATGTGATCCTGGTGATCCTGTTTCATCATTCTACTGATCTGGCCTTTTAATTTTTAAGGCAGGAATTGTTGCCCTTTATGACTGCGTTTTCAAAAGACCCATCGGGTATGATGCAAAGCTTCATCGGTGCGACAGAGAACACGCAAAAAGCAGAGGACTTCACATTAATGACGAGGTGATTGTCAAGTCTTAGGGTGACAAAAATCACTACTCACCCTCCTTTCTGTTCACTCATGATAATGTCCGAGTTCTGGCTGCTGTCAATTACTGCATTCTACAAGCATGCAATGGAGTACTGTAGTAATTACTAGTTTAAAGCTAGGATCTTACGCAAATTTACTTAAGGCTAAGAACTCCTAGGACAGGAGTGTCAAACTGGCAGCCTGTGGGCCAGATGTGTCACAAGCAGGCCACACCCACCCCAGCTCCACAAAGGGAAAAAAACATCACGTGACAGCATGTGACACCACCAGTTTGACATCCGTGTTCTAGGCAACCTGCTTAGGGTTATATGACACAACTCGTCAGATTCAGCCTTCTTCAACCAGAAAGACCATTGGCTGAATCATAGATGCAGGTATTCCCAGAGGTAAGCTGCACCTTCGTTGGCAAGGGGTTCGCTGATTGTGAGCGCACGCGCACATGCACGGCTTTGGGGCTGAAATGCAGCTTCAAACATAGTATTTTGCACTTAAAGTAGACTGAAGTATAAGGGATGTCTCCCCCCAAGCCATTAGTATGATACAAACAGAATTAAGATGTTGAGCTCATTCATTAAAATAGATCATAATTTAGCAAACATTTCCCTCCACCCCTGAAATATATGGAATTGAAATAGGCAAGCTATTATGTCTTGCCACCAAGTTTCTATAAGATTTATGGAGAATAATATTGCTAATGGAATGCTAGAAATCAGTTGTGTAAATAAACCTTCTGAAGTGCTACACAAATACTCATTACTGTCAGATGATAGTTGCATTTTGCAGGAAAAAAAATGGCAATCCTTCCTTGAGGAAGTATTTAGTAACACAAATATCAAAGTACTTGATCATATCAGACAATCTACACAGAATATGAGGCATTTTAAAAAGAAGTTCCTGTAGGGTGGAAGAAATTATACCCCAATGGCATTTCTCTTTTGGAAAGGATTACAGGGGACTCGAGCTGTTTTTAATGGATATAGCTGAAGAGTGTAAAGCTGTGAGAGATATTTTTTACTTCTTTTCACTTCAGGAAACCAGAATGTATTTGGAAGATGTCATTTTGATTTGGATGTAGGACATCCGCCACCATTGCCAGCAGCACCATACCAAGCATCTTATCTAGTATTCTCTTTATCTCTTGTGTTTTTATAGTTGGCAATCACATCTCAAAATATTCTTACAGGAAAAGAAAAGGCCTATAGCCATCTTGTCGTCTTCTGAATATGGGCGGCATATAAACAAACCAGTGGAACGGCTAATCCGAGACTACGTGCGCATTAATCACGTAAAGACAGAGTTCTACAGAAAAAATGGAATAGCCTGCTTGATAGAAAAATGAATCCAGCTTAAGAATCTACTGTTGATAGATAACTAACAGCAAGATGGTATCAAATTCCTGTAGTGTCCTGCTTGGATTTACAGTGCAAACGTATCATTGCAATATCTTTCTATATATTTATTGCTGGGGTTTTAGCTAAAACCAGGTTTAGGTCCTTAAAGGCATACTTGTGTGACATACTTGTGTGACCTACAGTTTATACATGTACTCGCCTCTCCATTTTTTCTCCTGGAAAAATTGTGCAAAGATTTCACCAGAAAAGTGGCTTGACACTCTTAACACACTGAAGTAGCCATGTATTAATCTGAAAACAATCACTTCTGTCATTTCTTGTTTGTTTATGATTTATAGTTTCTGTTCTTTTAATTGTATCAAAACTAAAGGACTTGGTAGCATGTATTGTTGCTTAACATGCTTTTCCTTCCAATTTCATATCTTCGTTAATTTAATGTTTTATAAGCGTGTTTGGAATGCTTAACTAAGGAAGTCACCATTAAAGGAAAAAATACTGAGAAAAACATATATCAACCTGCTTATACACCAAGGATGCACATGTGAGTATTTATATGAGTTGTGCATGAGGAATGAAGATCAGCTGATAGATGGACAGCTTCATAATAATAAATTTTCAATGCTGAATACAAACATTAAAGCTTGACATTAATTTCACCTCGTGAAGTTGAATAGTTTTGATTACTGTTTGTAGTGGAATTTTTGTCAAAGCTACTAGATACTAAAACTACCCACAGTATGAGTTTATGTAAGCCACATTTAACCTGCATCTCCTATCAGCCCAGAAAGGAAGCTTCTTCACAGAACAGCATATAGGAGAAGGGGGACGTGCCAATTTTAATCAGGAGAATAGAGAAGGAAAAATAAATGTAAAGTCACTGGCCCCTATGAAAATCTTTCTCGTGGTAGAATCTTCTTGTTTTTACTTAGTGGTAAGCTGCCTAGAGACATCTTTTGGTGAAATGGGCATCATATAACTTTACTAAATAACAACACTTAACAATATACAATGTATTCAACATATACACATACATACATATCAATATACATTCCATACAAATATGCATATATGCATATATTCCATGCATACCTAAAAGGTATGTGCACTCAAATTATATGTTTACTGTCACATTAAGTCTGGCTCCTTTGTATACATGCACCCTCAGCCTTCAAAAACTAAACAGAAAAAAAACCCTAAAACCATTAAGAACTAAACATTCCAATATTTTCCAGGACACGCTATATAGTACCACGAGAAAATGCGACTATTTCCCAGGTTAACATGATATTAAGTCAATCACATCGGGAAAAAAATAAACTTGGGTGCATTTGTACTTTCTCTCCATGTAACACCAGGAGACAAAACTATATAATAGGATAAAGCGCTGGATTTATTTAAATCTCAATTTCTCAAACACAAAATGAAGAATAGCCTTCATATACATTTATTTGGATTCGGCTTTATTTTCATGGAAGCTATAAAAGTTAGGAAATACTTTCTTGTGTAGGTATTCCTGCACATCATTTTTGTTGTCCAATGGGTTAAACTCAAAAAATGGGATCTGAAATGTAAAGAAATGCAGGAAACATTATTCAAATAATTCTGCAGAGATTAAAACATTAGAACAATTTTATCCTGTTTTCTTTTTTAAAATAAAGACATGAGCAGGCTTATCACAAAAGGTCATTTAATCCCTTTTCATTTACTTTCCCCACCTGATAAATAAAGGCCTTGTTCCTGCCCTGTTCCAATATTCTTGACAGTCCTGTCACCTATGCTTTGATGCAAGAATGGCTCCAGGCATATGGCACAACAGGAATGCAATGGGCAACAGGTCCTTGGGGGACTACAACTGGGGATTTTAGTCTTGAATAATGGCTGTCTTCTAATAAAACTGAAATGCTAAGTGCTACAACAAAATCCAATTATACCCACTGGGGAGAGTTCATCCTAGGGTTATGAACATAGTTTAAAGTGAAACATTCAATTTAAATGAAGACAATCCCAAAGGCAGTCTCAAAGTGGGAAAAAGAAAGATTCCTGTCTGAAAATTTTAACAGTTATTTTTGGTCTAGTACTGAACTAGACATTCCAGTGATTCAATTCAATATAATGGCAATAATGTATGTACTGGTATTAGAACTGAATAGGGAAATATTGCTTTGAGACATACACTTTTTATCTAATTTGTATACTGCCTTTATTATTTTTACAAATAGATGATGAACATATCCAACACACTTTAGCTCCTCCTATTTTCCCCACAATAATTCTGTGAGGTGAATTGGGCTGAGAGAGTGACTGGCTCAAGTCACCAGACTGGCTTTCACAGCTAAGCCAGGATTTGAACTCACACCCTCCTGCTTCCTAGCCTCATGCTCTAAGTTCATTGAGCCCAAGAGCAAAACAGTCTGGATCAACCCTCAGAAGTAATCATTTCTATGAACAAAGCACCAATATGGATCTCCAAATATAGTTAAATATTTGAAGAAGGGTGTTCCTATCTCTTGAAATATGTAGCAATATTATTGAATTTACCTGTACAACCACATAACCAATGAGCTTCAGGTGTCTTTGCTTAATGGATTCTTTTCCAAGAAGATTGTGACTATTAGCACAAAATCTTTTTTCATCATCAATGCAGAGAGCTATTCTGTAAAATCAAAACATTGCCAGTGCTTCAAATTCAAAATGTCAGTGCAGGCTTTTTTAAGTCAGAGCCCTTCAACAGGGTTAGATTACAACTCATTACTGACCAGCAAAAAAAAAAAATGTTGGATATATGCATCTGAAGGGAAACATGTTGGGAAAAGCTGACCATTCCTACTTTTTTTTTTTTAAGCGAATGCCATCACAATATGAACAATAGTTCATTATAGGCTAGTTTTGCCTGTTTTAGGTAAAACATTTTTGCTTGTTTTTAGGTAAAACCATTGTAAAACATGCCCACTGCAATGACTGCAGGATGCCACAAACAGCTGCAAATGCAGCCTGGCTGGCAAGTACCCGAAGTGTGGTCACATGACTGCAGGGAGCAGGGGCATCAGAACTTTGAATCTGGTTTGTAAGTACCCACAGGGAGATCTGTTGTAACTTCAACTGGTTGCTAACTGACTGGTCTTAAGTCGAGGACTACCTGCAGTCTTCTGGAACAGATAGTCTTCCTAGTTGACATTTCAGTTCAGTACAGTTCTGGTGTGCAACCACAATGAAGCATAACCAAGTAACTCATTCAGACAGTTTGCAGGGGGTGAGTCGGAAAGCCTCTGCGCCTGCGCAAAGTGTGCATTTGGTGCACGCAAAGCACGCCCACCAAGCCACACCCACCAAACCAGTGGTAAACTATTTTGAAACCCACCACTGATAAATATATATGTCAAAAGTTGGTCAACCTCTTTTACCCTGACACACACTTGAGAGAACTGTACAACAAGCAGTTCCAAGCAGAGTCAAGTTAGCATTAGGGGCATAAACAGGAGCCTAGTCGGATGGACAAAAAGATTGTGGGTTTTCATTGGCTTATGGCTATTGTGAGAATTAAAAGTAGTTTGCTAAGCAAAGCAAATCCATGGACTTTTGGGGACCAGAATCATCTGCCATAGCAGTAAGGTGTGAACAGGGATTCCTTCCTTCTGAAGGTAGCATGATGGATTTGCATGCTGCCACCTTCTTTAGGAAACAGCTCTAGGGAACTGCAACAGTACGGAAAGGAAGGGGCAAAAATGTAGCAAAAACACTAGCTTGACTTGAACATTGAAAAATGTGCGGTGATTTCTCAGGGGTTGAGTAAAGACTAAAAAGACTTGGAACTCTTGAACCACAATATTGCTGATATTCTACCAATGTTAGCACATGTATAATGCTTTGCTTCTTCTATCACAATCAGAATCAACCACATAGGAAAAAGTAGACTAAACTTTTCAAACAGAAATATAAACCAAATGCTAGAAATAATGTTTTACCTTTTCATGAGAAAATAAAACTGAAAAGTTTCTTCAGGTTGTGAACTCATTTTGGAAAATAACAACCAACCATCCAGTTTTCCTTACCTTTCATATACCTCGTCATATGCGTTGACGGGTAGTACAAATCCTTCTTCATTGAGCTTTATCTCAATATCTTGTACAGACAAACAGAAAGAAAATAACATTCCTCGCAACTATCTTTTTGCTGAATTTCATTACTTTTCATAATTGAATAAACTTATTTTTAATCCAAATTTTAATCAAACAAGGAAATGGGCAGCCTTACTATTTGTTAAATACATTTAACTTGGCTAGAAACAAACATAGCTGTGCTTGAATAAAATCTTAAGAATTCTAAGAAAATACTCAAGTTCCATGCAGTTGAGAGTGGCTTAAAAAGTAGGAGGTAGAAGGCTTCAAGGAAATTGTCTAGGGCCCTTGCACCAATGGAAGATGTATTGTTTCACTTTTTATCCCCACCATTATGTCCCCACATCCAAACCAATTAACTGCATGGAGAGTCAATCACTCTTGCTGGAGTTCTGAAGGTATAGTTTACAGAGTTCACACTGAATGAACATGAGCTTCTAGGATTATAGTTTCCAGAACTTCAGTGCTATGTATGAATATTCAATACAAATACTCTGAAGAACAAATTCCAACAATAGAGATAAGACATCATGAGGGAAATAACATCAGTGGAAACTATTGCCTAAGTCCAAAGCAAATCCCTGCAGTCATCGAAAGGCCTAGCAGAACTCACAGAGATTTTCAAAAGTTAATTTACAAAACTATATTTTTTAATGTGATGCAAAGGGAAAATAATCAAATATATTGCTGAAGATTAACCTCATCTCACCCATTACTCCTTGGAATATGGCCATTCAACCCACTCAATCCTGAAAAAAAACTGCACCCATCTAAACTAAACACAGCTATTTGAAAAGTACAGACAGTTTGCTCACCTATAGTGTAGTGATATGGTGTCAGAACATTATAGACAAAATATTTTTGGCTCCCTAAGAGGTCAATCATGCCAGCCTTCACTCTGTTGAAAAGATGAAGATCAACCTTGGATTCTAATGACTCACATCTAGTGTAAAAGGACTTGACTTGGTAGTCTAGGGGGAGCCTGAGCTTCTGCAATGACAAAAGATTAGAATTTTAATCAATTTTATGACAAGTTGCTTCCTGCTGATTAAAAAAACAAATATGAGTAAATATGAGTAAACATTAACAAGGTACATAATGCTGGAATAATAATGACGAATAAGGTGGAGAAGACACAGCAGAGAAACCACCACATTGGAAAACCCATAAAGTAGTATTAACAGACTCTTATTTTTCTCTCCAGTTACAAGAGAAAAGTTATTATTAAATACAAGTTATTTTCCAGATGCAGATGTCATGCCCTGGAATGCTTCTTTGGGGTTTGTGCTATAATGGGAGCAGAAGTCTGCCCCCCCCCCCCGCCCCCCCCCCCCCCCCCCCCCCCGGTATAAATCTATATGAACACTTTCATCTTGTATATCTTATGGCCAAAATCCCATAGGACTACAGCCTAAAATGCCAGCAAAATTATTACTGCTGGTATGGAGGATTACTTACAAGGAACATTAATATTTTTGGCCATTAGTATTATGCAACACTTATTGGATTGAGTACAGATGTACAGATGCTGGCATTTGCTTAACGATTAACATCAATTACCATCAAAAATATCATACCTTATAGTATGGACACTCCAGTCGAATGGTTAAAAACAGCTGAGTCAACTGAGAAAGAATCTTCGATCTTGGACTTTCAGCTAAGATGCAAACAACCAGACAGACACATCATCACACAGCAACTTAAAGTTAATTGCTCAGCTTTCATTTTTACTAATGTTTATAATGCCGCTCCAACCCCAAAAGATTCTTGAGCGGTTTATATTCCCTTAGAGTTAGAAAAAGCTAAATCATCATTCTCATCATTAAATAAGAATTATGAGTCCTCTAATGCCAAAGAAAAGCAAACATTATTTTAAAAAATGTTTTAAGGGGAGGGGGCACTCATAACAACTATGGAATAGCCACATTTTGATAACTGTCTAAAAAGTCAACACAGTCAAATCAGTCTAAGCTTGGGGCAGGGGGATATTGTTCCAAAGAAGGTGCCATAACTGAGAAGAAAAATCCCTGTGATTCCTGAAGAGAACATTCTCTAGAGCAGAGTTTCTCAATGTTTTCGGCTTTGCAGAAACCATTGCTCGCTCGCCCGCAGCGCATGCAAATGAGGATGGATGAATGCACGCTCGCCAGCTGTTTCTGCGGCCCAGTTATAAACACCTCATGGCCTACTAGTGGGCTAAGGCTGACAAGTTGGGGGCCCCTGCCCTAGAACAGCGGTTGCCAACCGGTGGGCTGCGGCCCACCGGTGGGCCACGAGAAAATTTTGCTGGGCCACAGAGAAATCTCACCCCCAGAGCACCCCCCAAAGCAATTAATCCAGGCTGCGCAGAAACACAAGGCTGTGCCACCCACATGGCCCGCGGGAACCCTCCCTGCCCACTCACTCCTTACCCAACAAACTTGCCTGCTAAATTGCTATTTTTCCTTTTTCCGACCATCAGCTGTTCTGCTGTGCCGGGAGATTGCTTGCTTTCTAGTTAGTCTTTAGATCTTTGGCTCTGCTTTTAAGCACAGCCGAACCTCCCTTAGGACTGAAGGTTCTATTATTCAGTGCAGACTCATGGCAAGCAAATTTTATGTGACAGACTGAGCTAGCTGATGGCAGATAGATAGATCACTGAATGATTCTGTGAGCAACTCAATCTGCCTGCCTGCTTTGCCTGATTTTGGGTAAAAGTTGTTCTTTTTTTATTAAAGAAATCAATATTTATATAAATATTTATAATATTTACACACAAGCCATGCCTAGCTAGTCACATGACCACCAAGCCACAAATTAAGCCATGCCCACAGAACTGGTTAGTGGTCCCTGGGATTTAAAATTATGAGTTTGGTAGTCCTTGAGGTCCAAAAGGTTGGTGACCTAGAAAGATCTGTATAGATTTTATGCTTCCAGATCTTACAAAACAGGCACTGCCCACTGATAGGGATCCTGTAGAATATTTTAAAGGAAACAATCATCATCTTGATTACCACCCAGAAGGAAACTGGTAATCAATACAGTTTTCAAAATGGAGAAGTTTATAAAGGAGAACCGACAGTAATTCTTAGAAGTTTGTGAACCCTTTTGAGTGTTCAATATTTATGCATAAATATGACCTAAAACATGATCTATACAAGTTCTAAAACTAGATAAAAGCCAATTGAATAAGCAAATCAAAAGCATTATGCCTGTTTATTTATTTATTGAAGAAAAGAATGCAAAGCTACATATTTGTGGCAAAATTATTTCATGTAGTCCTCAATTTGTGGTCACAATTGGGACCAGAATTTCCTTTGCTAAGCAAAGTAGTTATTAAATGAGTCATGGCCACTTTTATGGCCTTTTTTGCTAGAGTTGTCAAACCAACCATGAGGTCATTAAGCAAATTCAGCTTCTCTCTTGACCCTGCTTGTCAGAAGCTGGCTGGCAATATTGCAAATGGAGGTGATGTAATCCTGGAATGTTGCAATCATCACAAACACATGCCAGTTGTCAGGCACCTGGCTTTAACTGTGGGGATGCTATGATTGTAGGAAGTGCGAGGACTTATCACATTTTTTGGTGATAACCTTTTTTGTCATTTTTTTACTGTGGGCACAATGGCACACATTAAAAATGAAATTCTGTTGCCTGCTCTCAAAAGTGTACACATACGTAACACATACAGGTATACACATGCTAGCTAGCTATATTAATCATTGTCCATCTTGAATGCATATCGGAAAGAGGAAGCTTGAGAGTTCACAAGATTGATACTATATGAAACAAAAATGTGACTGAATCTCTATGTTCTGCTTCGTATACCACGAAGCCTCCTCCCAGAAGGTAACAAGGAAAACAGATTGTGAAGAGGATGTCTGGCATCCCAGACAATCCTGTCGATCCTGGTCAAGCATTGCTTGGAATGGTATGTCCTGGATAGATGGAAGTGAACTACCAATAATCTTCTCTGCCATCCTCACCAGTGCCATTGTAATTGCAAATGATTGGTAAACAAATGGTTTTAAGTCAATATAACTTGCATTACTTTTATATTATTACACACTGTTGTTTATAGTGTCATAAATACTCCCAAAACTCCAACTAGTTGTCCCCTGCCACCTTGTGTGGCTTCCCAAAGGCCATGTTATGGTCATTACTGCTGATCAGAAAAACAAACTTAGAAGATAAGAAATCTTGAACTATCTAACTCAACTATTGGCAAGTTGGGTGAGGTAAATGGGGATGAGCCAAACAGATACCAAAATTTTAATCATATTTGGTTTGTTCTGTAAGTGCTATTATGTCTTTATAAATATTTTAAGACCAGGCAGGCATCTGAATGCCTTATTAATCTTCATTTAAGGAGCACCTATGGCTCTTACAAACTATTTGAAAACAACTGTTAGTAAGAGAGCTATTATAACAGAAATTATAAAGTTTACTTGCTTACCTTGCAATTCATGCAGAAAAAAGGGACTGAACAGTTTTTCCATAAAATTGAGCGGGTAGCATTTAATGAGAATGCATGAATGAAGAAGGTTCACAAGTTCATGAGGCTCAAACTCAGAAAGTCGCATGCTAACGAACCTTTCAACCTGTCGGAAAAAAGATGGAGCAGACGGGGGCAAATAGTTGAGCTTCCCAAATGGAACAACCTGCTCAACAATCTGAGAAATGGTGAAATTATCAGCATTGTAGATAAAGGTTTCTGCCACTGCATTGAATATGGGTTTGGAAAGAATGCATAGCGTGCTGCAGTACTGCATGATTTTGGAAATTGTGTTGGGATGCATCACAAAGGCAAATTTAGTAACATGTCTTTCTAGCGCCTCTGTGAAACACTGGTCAGAGCATCCGAAATGAATGAATGCTTCCAGCACATCTATCATTTCATCATCTGTAAAGTACGGGATATAGCATGATGCATGCTTACAAAGTTTTATTATCAAGTTATTGACTTGGGTTTCATCTAAAACAACCAGAGCACTTAACACTGTACTTGTCTGTTTGGGAGTGAACTGGCAATCTTCTGTCTCTGCAAAACTGTTCATTTTGCTTAGCAGGTTCTGGAACAGGTTCGTTCTCCTACCTGCATACAGCTGCAGAGTTCTGTATACCAGGACCATTTCTTCAATCTTCCAGTCCTCAACATTTGTACTCTGAATTTGATTCATAATTTGGTCCAGCATAGGCTGTTCTGGTCCTCCAAGATTAAATAAGCCTTCTCCAAGAATACACAAATTTTTAATGGTCATTTGTCCCTTATCAAGACGTTTCTGGGTCTCTGATACCAAGCAAACCATCAGGGTATTGCAAGGATCCACATGCAACTTTGTCAATGCATTTAGAGAATTTACAAGAGCAGAGTCAGATAAATGTGTAGATTCTTTCTCCAACCGCAAGCAAAGTGATTTGAACATATCATTTTCTATCAGCAACTCGGGACTTTTCATTAAGCTGTCTTGTAGCTGGACTTCACCCAATCGCTGAAAGATTGCTGCTACCATGATGTCAGATAAACTTTCCAATGAACTCACAAATTTGAAAATATCTTTGTATGAAGACCATTGGTTCAATTCTTTCAAAAATATCTGTTCACCTACTGTCTTGTTATTATAATTTAAATTGTTATTGGCCTCTCCAAGATGTTGCACTGTTTCCACAACAGGGCTAGTGTGATTTTTTAGTTTCACATGGTAGTTTCTACAAGAAGTGCACAGGAACCCTCTTCTGTTTTCCAATATAGAAGAGTCAAAGTGGCTGACTGCCAATTGCCTCATTTTCTGACAGAAATGGCTGAAGGCTCTGCTTCCAGTTAGTAATTGTCTGCATGCTTGTACATTCGAAACATATACACGGAAAGATCTGACAACTATGAAAGCCATCTTAGCTTGGCTGATGACATTGTCTGAAAACAGAAGAAAAAGTTAAATAGAGAGACTGACTTTTTAAACAGTTTGAAATGATAAGCAAGAACAGCATAGAGTTAACATCAATGTCTCAATTCTGTGTGAGAATGAAATGATCAGAGTATGAGACTGTTAACCAATGAATTCAACTCAGAAAAATACCTTAAATATTAAGCATCTGTAAATATATCTTTGAAAGTATTATGAATAAGGCTAAAGTTCAAATAAGTACCTAGATAAGACAAGACAAGGGAGAAATTTCAATCCTGCTCCTTGTCAGTATTGCCATGGTAAAAAAGAAAACAAACCCAATTATGTAAAATGCAATACATAAATAATTGCAAATGTAAATTGTGCATTTCTTTGGTAAACACTGCAGGATTCAAGACTTTTTATGTGAAATGCAACTACTGTGAGCTCTTTCCTACTCCTCGGCCAATGCGTTCTTCTCCGGTCCTCAAGGTAGGAGGAAGGAGGAAAGTGTGGCAAATTGCTATTGCCAGAAGGGTCCTTTTATTGCGGTTGGAAAAGGAGATCAGCAAAGTTGCTGCTCTCACACAAGGGAGACCACAATAACAAAGCACAACAACCACCCATAGAAACCAGGGCTACTGCCCAGGCCTGAGCAACAAAGCAAAAATATCCAAGGAAATTTACGAAGTCTGCACTACTATTACTCCTTCTCATCACTCCTTATCACCCAACCCAATGAGTTCAGGAAATAAGACAATGCATTTTAAAAAGCTCGGCTTAGAGAAGACAGCAGGATGTTACTAATTTGATAGGCTGGCCACAGACAGGTAAATGAACATGTAGACTGTCTCTGGAGCTTCCTTCTTGCTGAATTGGAGTTGTTCAGATCTCATGGGGAAAGCAGAAATTGAGATATAAGGCAAAGAATTTATCTGATAGTCAGTGTCTTTCTCAACTTTAAGATGAGTGGACTACAACTCCCAGCATTCCCCAGCCAGCATGTTGACAGATAAGGTATAATAAATATTCCTTATAGAGTCTGTCATCTGCACCTCTATAACTGTCTGGTTTGGCTCTGCAACCCAACAAGACACAGACTCCAAAGAGGAATTAGGACTGCAGAAAAAACAATTACTACCCACCTGCCTTCAATTGAGGACCTGTATACTGCACGAGTCAAAAAGACGGCTGTGAAAATATTTACAGATCCCTCACATCCCGGACGTAAACGCTTTCAACTCCTTCCCTCAAAATGACGCTATAGAGCACTGCATACCAGAACAACTAGACACAAGAACAGTTCCCCCCACCACCACAAAGCCATCACTCTGCTAAACAAATAATTCCCTAAACACTGTTCAACTATTACAAAGTCCGCACTACTATTACTGTTAATCTCATCACTCCTTATCACCCATCCCCTCCCATTTGTGACTGTATGACTGTAATTTTGTCGCTTGTAGCCTTACGATTTATATTGACTGTTTCCTAGTATGATTTGATTGCTTATTGTACCCTATGACTATTACTAAGTGTTGTACCTTATGATTCTTGACTCTTCATGAATGTATCTTTTTTATGTACACTTGAGAGCATTTGCCCCAAGACGAATTCCTTGTGTGTCCAATCACGCTTGGCCAATAAAGAATTCTATTCAAAAACAGTCGCAACAGTGGACACACTCCTAAGCTTCCCGGCCTGTTTTTACTACCGTAGTAGCTGTAATGGCAGCACCCACCGGTCAGAGCAGGGGTCTCCAACCTTGGTAACGTTAAGCCTGGAGGACTTCAACTCCCAGAATTCCCCAGCCAGCAAAGCAAAGCAAAGCTGGCTGGGGAATTCTGGGAGTTGAAGTCCTCCAGGCTTAACGTCACCAAAGTTGGAGACCCCTGGGCCAGAGAACCGCAGTTCCCAAAGTTACAACAGCGCTCACCCAGTGCAAGCGGCGTGGAACAGCTTGCCCCCGACCCCAATGGTTACCAAGAGGGGATTAAGCCAAAAAAACAAACAAACGGAGCAGGAACCGCACAGTCCGCCAACGGGCTCCACGTGGAGGTCATCCTTACCTTCTTCCCCAGCGATTTCAAGGTTCCACTTCTGGTTAAGCGCGACAACCAATCGGATCGCGTCTTTTCATTCTGTGCCCACCCCTCCTGGATTCACGGATTGGCTGAAAAAGTCGCAAAAGCCCACTTCGCCCCTTCAAAGCGTGACCCTGATTTGCTTTTGCATACTTCGTGGAGATAGAAATGTACAGAGGGATACATGCCCTGGGCTCCCCTGTTGATATTTGCTGGTAAGGATAGGATTGGAAATCGAAACTCATCGGCTTGACCAAAAAAAAAAAAAAAGCCTCATCACTTCCAATGGCGGAGCTCATTATCATTAATTTCCAATTCAGCATCGTCAGCTACTGCAAGCAAGACGACCCAGCCCCTCCTGCTGTTAATAACGATTATTCAGGGGTGGTTTTTTTCTGAAAATTTTGCAAAATGATGCTATTATCTGAGACTGTAAATTGTTCCATTCTCTTGCATTTCGCAAAACTGAGCGGGATGAGACATTTCTTAGGCGGGCCCCCTTGTGGCCTTTCTCTGGAAGCTACAAAAAGGACGGAGGGGAGAAAGACGGTCGTCTCTTTTTCTATTTGAATATTAATCTACTTTAAAAAAAAAAATGTACCCACCCCCTTCATGACGGCTGAGTGACAGAGACAGAAAGTGCCCCAGGCCTGCGGCGTGGGGGGAACCAGCCTCTTCTGGGAGGGATTTCTGGAGAGCCGGCACCCTTTGAGGCAAAAGACTGGAAAAGATCTCTTTTCGTGTGACCGCGCCGGGATGACTCTCTCCAATCCTGCGCCGGCGAGGATCTGAGTTCTGGAGGAGCGCAAAATTGGGCGGCGCACGTGTGATCGGAGCCTGTTGGCAACCTTCTCGTGAATACGAGCAGCTGCAGCTCTGCTTGAAGGAGGGGTGTTGTTTTTTTTTCTTGGGCGCAGGGGTGAGTTTTACCCCCGAAATGATAAGACAGGTTCCCGGTGCGGAATTTGCCTGCCGGGTGAGATCCGGCAGGGTCTGGCTTGGGGGGCGGGGGGGCTCTCCTTTCAAGACATCCCACCTACAGGGGACTCACCACTTGATCCTCCCACCCACCCCAGTTATATTCCTTCCCCCGCTTCCCGGCTTCGGACTTAATGCTGCTTTCTAACTGAATTACGGTTTAGCTTTCTGTTAACAAGAAAACAACTTTCTTGTTACTTGTGTACAGTAAGCCAGGGGTCTCCAACCGTGGCAACTTTAAGACTTGTGGACTTCAACTCCCAGAGTTCCTCAGCCAGCTGGCTGAGGAACTCTGGGAGTTGAAGTCCACAAGTCTTAAAGTTGCCACGGTTGGAGACCCCTGCAGTAAGCCATTCGGAGCATTCGGAAATGGAGAGGAATGTAAGGGAAAGCAACAAATGCAGCGGTAGCTCCCATTGGTGCAAAACGTGGCATGCTTCAGTTGAGGTCCGTGTTAAAAATCTGCCCTGGATCAGTACTTTTCCGTGTACGATTTATAAAGCCCTTGGTGGCTTAAGGCATGTTTGGGACCTGCCCTACACACCTTCCTGCCTGCTTTCAGGGATATATTTATTGGCCACGTGGGAATGCATTTGATCCTCAGTGTTTTTCCAAGAGCAATCAAGATGCATCTCTTCTGTCAGGCCTTTAGTTGCCCCCTTTAACATTAGTTTTTATTTTTGTTTTGTATTTTATTTGCTGTTAACCGAATAGAAGACTGAAACGCTAGTAAATGTAGGTGCTATGCATTAAGAATTGTTGTGTCTGTTCATTAGAAATAAGTGCACCACATTTTTTTCTTTGCCTCCCCCCTCAGTTAAACCTTGAAAAATGTGTTGTGAAAGAAATAGAAGATTTCTGCTGCTTTATGCAAGTCAGAAAGGACAGGCAAAAGCCATAGCTGAAGAAATATGCCAGGAGGCAAAGGAACATGGATTTGAAGCTGATATTCACTGCTTCAGTGAATCAGAGCAGGTAACACTGTAATATTAAGCGCTGTTTTTCGACAAATTACAAAATAAGCAATGAATGATTTGCCCTTCCTCTTGTACTCTGTTATCTGAATATTCAAATGTTTCCTTAGAGGTCTATCAAAAAGCATGATTTATTTTTTTCTACTCAGTTTAAATCATGAAATAAACTGTTGTATTGTCAATTGTTTATATAGATCTATCTACAAGTTTATCTTTTTTTCAAAGAGAAAAGGAACTGAAGGAGAAATAAAGGAACAAGGATATTTTTTTAAATGCATGTACATGAATTTCAGTTTCTTCCTCAAGATATTTTAGAAAGTCAAGATTAAACTTAGACTAGAATTTGATCTCATTTCTTTCTAATCCAGAAATAGTATATTGTGCTGAATATAAGCCTATGTAAAACATTGTCTTGGATATCTAATAACTAGAAATGATTAAACTATGCAAGTATGCATGTACCCTGTAGTAGAATCAGTACTGATATGTATTTTCTAATGATCTAATCACACCTAGAGACGTGCATGTTATTAGCCAGGGACTTTTTCCAGCCAGGATCTTTATGAGCAGAAGGGCTGCCTCTCAGATTGATTTTGTCTCTGTGATGGGCAAAAATCTCTCTGCCAAGCAGCCCTGTTGCTTTCAAAGAAACTAGCTGGAAGAAACCTTTCTACCATTCAGAACAATGATGTTTGCTATCTTACCAGCCAACAGTGACCTTTAGTGAAATAGGTGGCATACAATTTTGATAAATAAAAAGCCAGCAAACACAAATGTTTCTGAAGGTACAAAGGTTTTTTCCTGCTTGTCTTCTATTAAGAAAGCTTGCATTTGGGCTGGCTATCTAAGTCAAAAGCGAATGAATGCAATGTTTCTTAAAGGCAGAAAGCTTGGGAAAAGTCTTTTCTACCTTTCAGAAACATTTCATTTGCTATTTTTTGAGCCAGAAAGCTAGCGGAAAAAGTGGTTCTAAAAGTTAAAAATTCTAGTGAAGAGAGGGGATGAAAACTGCTGCACTAGGCCAGAGAAAGGAAGCTCAGATCTTCGGAAGTTTTTTTATCTGTTCCACCAGTGCAATTCTCTTCTGTTTACTTAATGGACCACAACTGACAAACTCAGAAATTGCAGTAATTGAGCAAAGCAGTCACATGGGCACCTCACTTAATGATTGTAATGACTTATGACAAACACTCCAGGCCTAATTCTGTTCATAAGTTGAGGACTAAGTGTAGAGTAAATTTTACAGTTAAAATGATTCACCTATATTCCATTGAAGTTGCAATTATATTTATTATTTTTAATTTTTTTCTATTAATGGCACAACTCTTAATCTACTTTTTTCAGCCTGTGTTTATGCTATAGTAGTCTTATAAATTATGTGTTGAATCACTGAATATTGATTGACTCTAAAGAGTTTAGTAATTCATATGGTAGCTCTCTGTATATTTTTTGTATTGTTCGGGCTTTTGTCATAAAGATAGAACAGTGTTTCTCAACACTGGCAACTTTTAAGATATGTAGACTTGAACTCCCAGAATTCCCCAATCAACATCCCTTAATGTTGATATAATTTTTTTAGTGTATGTACAGATGGCACAAAGTTATTTTGATTTTGTGCTCATTATTTTAACGCGGTATTTTCCTTTTGATTTATAGTATAATTTGGATAAGGAAAAGGATCCTGTGGTTATTGTTACTTCTACTACTGGTACAGGAGAACTTCCAGATACTGCAATCAAATTTATAAAGGAAATTAATGACAAAAGTTTGCCATCTGATCACTTGTCTCATATACGATATGGACTGCTAGGTAAATGACTTATAAATTACTGTTCTCATGAAGAAGGAAAAAAATCTGAGTTAAGTATAAATCTCTCTTGTGGAATAGATTAAATTCTTTCTCTATTTGCACTTGGTTCTGGAACAGTAGAGCCATTATAGGATTTTTGCAATTTAACTTAAGATCATGAGAAGTCTTCCATTCTTCTTAATCAATTTGGCATTGCTGAAAAGAATGTATATAGAGGAGGTACCCATCCTAGGTCTTTTTGTGTTGAGCCGGAAGTGCATTTTTCTTTGGTCAACCTTTCTTTCAAAGCTCAGCCGCAGATCTGGATGTGGGTCGGATGCTATACGTCTTCCTTCTATTTTTGCCTGCAAAGTAGATTTAAAAATTGTAACTAAAATAGTCATAAAGAAACTAGGTAACATAAAATAAAACTTAGAGATAAAAAAAAATCAAATACAATTTAAAAGTCTGTAAATAACAAACCAAATCCAACAAAATTTGAAACAGTGTCATCAATGTTCTGTTAAAGAATGACAGTAAAATGGCTTTTATAAATAATACTTTAGTGAAAGAACATGATTTTTCCAAAGGACATTTTTCTGTGCAAGGTATAAAACATTTATTTTATTTAAAACATTTATATAGCCACCCATGTTTCAAGCAACTCTGGGCTGCTTCCAAATATATTATCGCATATCATGCAAAGTTTATAAATGATGTAAAATTTAACTATTAACTTGTGTTTACTGAAGCAACATTATTTATCTCTGGATAGACACTATTGCTCATCTGAGATTGAAAACTGATTCCTTTGTTTCCCTTAATTCCTCTTCTGTTAGGATCAGATTCACCCCAGTTCACTTTATTATTTGGGCAATTTAAATGTTCAATAATTCTTCCATCATTGCCTACCCCCACAGAAATACCTTGGATATCAAGTAACTAACAAAGAGCAAAAACAATTCTTCCATACTGCAAAGCCCCATTTCAATTACCAGTCACTCAAGCCAACTCTTCTAATTATTTCTGTTAGGACTTGTGTTTCTTTTTAGTTAGCTAACTCAGTATAACTAATCAAATTTATTCATCAAATTTATAAAGCTGTCCAACTCCATGATTCTGGGCAGAGGACAACATCAACAACAGTGAAAAACAATATAATAAAGAAAGGACAATTATGTCTGGATAGAGTGATAAAACACACAACTGAACATATATATTTCCGTAGAATTCCTCCCTCTCCCAATCTGCCCTGTTCCAAGGCCTACAATTCTTTTTTTAGAAAGAAAATTTGATATTATTTTTAAGGGC